ATATTGCACATGACAAGAAGTAAAACGCGCAATCACTCATCTATTCTGTGTATTGCACGTTATAAAGTTTGCACGTCGAAAATGCAGAAAAGTCTTTTCTTTTTCTTGAAGAAATTTAGCGTCGACCTTTCTTTAATAACTGGATATTTATAGAATTCCATCTTTTCGCAAACTGCGCGAATTCGTCGTTGCTACATTCGCGGTGTGTATCGTGCACTTCGAATTTCAGGATCGATCGAAGCTCGCGAAATGCGTTCCTTCCTCTCTCCCTGTGCGACTTTCACGACGCAAATTCAGAATAACCTCGGAAAATGCAACGTCTCCGGGAGTGCACTCTGAATATAATATAACTCCCCGCGGCGGAGAGAAGCTTTTCTCCTACTCCGACGAACCGACATCTGACTTCTCGTGTATCACAAAAGAGAGAGAGCTGCGCCGGAAGCCCCATGTGTGCTCGTGAGGCTCGCGGGCAGATTTCCGTGTGGCGCTTCGTTTGAAGTGGTCCCGAATCCCATTCCAACAGTCAGTTTCGGTCCAGCCTCGTGTAAAGTTCAGCACGATGTATGCAGATGCGCCCGGTTTATCAACTACATACGGCTACTTACAAATACAGCGCGTAATGTTCCGAAGCTTAGCCCGTATTCGCCTGCGTAGGAGAACTAATCCTCCGAACACACCATCTACGGCCCCTTACCTAATTTGAAAGTCATACCAATTTGAGAGTCTGAATATCGATCGATATACTGCATAATCTCGCAAAGTGTAAAAAAAAACTTATAAATAATAAAATAGGCACAAAGATCTCGATAAGTTTACTCATAAAATAAAATATATGCTACAAGAAAATGATCTGTACAAACAATTTCCATTATCGATTAAACTAAATTTTAGAACAACTCTTTTGCATTTCTCCAGTTTTTTAATTTTATCAAACAAACAGTGTTGCTCTCGTGACGTTAAACTAAGAATGTATAGCAACGAGAAGAAGAAGAGTGCAGACAGATGAAGTCTGGAGTGAGATACATCATCCGCGAGAACCATTCCGACATACATCTCTCCGCAATTATAGGATAATTTCTCGTAATTCCGTAATTAGTATTTCTTGTTACTCCATCCGTGTGTGTCAACCAACTAAAGGAAAGCTTGTTACAAGCTGACTTGGATATACCTTTATTCTACGCCCGCGGTGATATACGCTCGGAAGCTTTTCGGAGGTAGGCTACAGTAATTCAGCTGATATACATTATGCATACAGTACGCGTCTCTTGCACGGCTAGCAAAGCTCGACCAAACGACGTCGCCGCTGATGCGCGACGCAGCTTGCGTAACGCACGCCGCAACGCCACGCCGGCTGACCCACATGCGTGGTCTTTATTTAAACTGGTTTCCTCCTCGGCGTCCTTTAGACCCGACTTTCGTCTGTGCTCCGGTCGCCGGGTCACCGGATTCGGGCGCGTCATTTTCCGCGAGACCGCAGCTCGGGAAAGGTCGGCTTGTACACATGTTTGTAAATATCTCGCAAAAAAACAATCCGATTAACCTGTAGTTTGAGATGACGTTGCACGAAGAATATAAACGGTTATCTTATAAAAATCTCCCTTTTTGTAACATTGTTAATATTTTTAATAATTTTCCCATCAAGATCTTCTATCCAAGATTTAATGAAACTAGCCTATAATATTGTCTATATACGATATATGTAATGTATATTCTTATTATTACAATTCTATTAATAATGCAACATACGCCGCAAATCCAAGTGTGTTATTTTTACACATTTAAGTGTGCATGTAAAATCGTGTAGTCACTTTTTACGCATTTGTGTCTTTTTTATAATAATGTACGATGGAAGTAATTGCGGAATCACCTCTTCGCGTAGGCCACGGTGAAGTTCGAATTTGTTCGCGGTAGACTTATGGAACCGCGAAAATTTCAATTGCAAATGCCCGTCGACTTTGATACCGAAGGGAATAACGAGCTTCCGAGACGAGCGTTTTTTAAGCATCAACGCGATCCCGCCTCGTCGAATATTCTTGTTTCTCAAACGTATGTAAAGTTTGAATAATACAGCACAGAGAAGGCAAAGAGGTAGCGCACAAAAAGGAGCAACGCGGAATAAAAATGCATCATTATGTTTCCATCGATCCCGCTACTCTTGCATCGACATCGTACGGGTTCCGAGGTCTCTTCAGAGTAAAAATAACGATACAACGATACAAAACAATTATAATTTATAGTTATAAATGTACACATTGTACATTTTACATAAATCTATTCAAACTCTATAATGCAGCGAACATATTTTATCTAATGGATTGTGAATACAAATCGCAATTATTTCATCATCTTCACAACCTTCATGTCCTGTATATTATATCTCTATAATAATTATTAACGTTATCTTAGATCATCAAAATCTTTTTTTTTTTGTCAATTGCGAAGAACTACCAAAAAACTCGAATATCATTTAAAACAATTATCTCGCTCCGACTTGTTCTGATTAACACGCATATTACTTATTATAATTCAAACGCAGATCTGATACTCCTCTCAATTACGCCCGCGTAATACTACGGATATACTCAGACAACATCGTAATACGAGCGCGCGTATCAGATTTCGCATCTCCTAATCGAACGAGCGTTGCAAGCGTTGCTTTATTTCTAGCTGTTTGCACGCTATCATAAGACAACCTGCTTTTATATCATGAGGTGGATAGTAATTCGATTCTGGAAAAACGAAGAAAAACTTTCCTTTCGTCGAGCCACTCACTCGCCCAGAAATTCATCCCGTTGCGAAACGCGTATAATGGGACGATTGCCAAACTTCCCAACTACTTGGATATCGCATCATTTATTGTGTCAAACGCTACGACAGATATCGATGTCTTATTGAGCTCGAGGAAATTTTTCCAATACCATAACAACACATGAAAGTTCTACAGAGTTAAGAAATGTTAGATACTCTCCGCCCTCGTATATCTTTCTCCACTTTCTCTCATATCGGAATATCATTTTTAACATTTTGACATTTGTCGTCAACCAATTCGCGTTGAATACGAATATATCCTTGGCACTTATACCGCGGACGTTTGTAAGGAAGAATACAAATTCGCAACGTAATCTTCATGAGTAATCAACGAGCGTACTCCCGCGGGACTCGAAGCTGCTACAACCGATATACCGTTGTCGCGACAGTGCAGCAGGTCGTAGAGACAAGTTCCTAACCAGCCGGGGTTGTTCTCTCTCGAGAAGACGCACTACGAATTCTCGGAATTCTGTCGCGATGCACGCGCGCGACCGTATTCCCAAATCGATCGCGACAGCGATGGCGACGGGAATGAGGGAAAAGGGAGGTGGAAGAAACATCCAGCTGAATTCCACCGGTTCTCACATCGCCGAACAAGTGCACGAATTCCGTGAGAGTGGTCGAAAACTATGAATACGCCGTATGTCGGAGGTGTATTCGTGTACAAATCCCGGGGGAAGGCGCGCTGGTTCTCTCCCTCCCACGCTGGGAAGCCACCCCGTCGTCGTCTCGCGTGTCTCTCACCTTTCACCCATCCCGTGTCATTATCATGCAAACGGTGATTTTCCACGATTCATAATGCAACGCATCCAAACGTCGGGTGTCGCAAGGCTCATGCCTAACTCCGCAGAAGGAGGAATGAACGGTGCTCGATTAGAGAAAAGAGGTTTGATTCATTGCGTTCGCGATGCGGTATGAATATAAATCATCGGACTACGTTGTAAGAAAGGAATGAGACGAGCTGTCGTTTCTCATCTGGCGAAACCACGTGATTAATCCCATTCATCCAGAAGTGATCTATTAAAGCAGTCTACACCTAAAAATAGTCTACTAAATCAAACAAATATTTTCATTCTAATCATTCTAATTTTAATATTCAATCTTTTCTTTGATATCGAATCTTTCAGAAGCTCTATTTGGCGGAATAATTTTACGGAGAATGCCAAGAATATCACATCTCATCATCCACATTTCAGAGCTAAAACTTTAATCTAGTTTTAAGGGGTTATTGTCGATATTTCCATATTCATATAGATACATCGGCTTATGTGTAAAAAAGCTTGTTTACAGTAAAAATCATGCTAAGGCTATACTAATTTGTTAAGTCCAACGCACACATATGTATATATATGTATAATAAAACATACATAATATAAAGCTGCACGGTAAACTCTGTTCAACGAACACGACGGTAACACAAAGGGATTAACAGACGCCGTCTGACCGAAGGATGAGCAACTCTCGTCCCTTAATCATAACAATACCAAATGTTACTCGATGATAACTGTATTAGGGCCGATAAAATACTAGGCTTGTGCACCCTCCTGGCTTTCCGCTTGTTTGCCGAGTCGAAACGCCCCGCCGCGCAAACATTCGCGCAGACCATACAAGCCGCTATCTTCTTTCCCCCAGGAAACTACGGTCGCGTGAGTGGCATTACGGGATTATTAGCGGACGGAAACTTCGCAGCCGTCTGTCCTATATCGGGAGCAGTTTCCTACATATTTGATGAGGAATGGCTATACAACGAGGCGCGCGTTACCATCACTCTTTCTCGCTCCCCTATATGCTTCGCCACGTGAGTGCGTGAAACTATTTCAGAATCGATACTTCGCGAGCATCGAGAATATCTTTTCTCCGAACAGCTTTTCGCCCAGATTTACGCTGTTTCTTATACGACCATAATCGACAACTTATTGCGATGAGAAACTCAAATGTACACAGTAACGCATAACAGAGCGGAAATGATAATTGAATTAACAGAAAGTTATCTTTATGTTAAAAGATTTCTTGCTTCCTTGGTCACAGCTTGGTCAAATAGGGTCGTGACCATTATCGTAAATTATCGGTAAATTATTCGGTTTGCATAATTTAAAACGGACGCAACCAGTTGATATAACGTCGAGTTATTAAACGAAGCGATACTGTGCGCATTGCTTTTATCGTCGCGTATTAATTTAACGTTGGCTCACCGAGTTAATGGCTGTCATGCTGCTAACTCGACCTGGATCTGTGTCCACTAGCCCGCTGTCACTCTGTAACAGAAACAGGAAGACAATTTAGAGAACGGAAAAGATCGATAATTTCTCCTATTGTTATTTGCATTCGAGCTAAATTTCGTATATATCACTATCATTGTGTTAAAGCGCGTTCGAGATTCGTGAAGATGGAAAAAAGAGTTATTCAAAGAGGATATTTTTTCTCGCGCCATTGTAATGTCGCCGTTTACATGTTTTCGAAGCACAGAAGCAAATAATTTCCGAATGCAAAATTGCAAACGGGGCATATTGTTAATAATTTGGAAAATGCAATATTGTGGAAAGTGAACAACATTCATATGAAAATCATTCGAAAGCTGCGAAATCCCAACGCATGTGAAAGCCGAGTGCACTCCGCCATCCGCTATGAAATTTTCTGTAATCACTCGCCGCTAGAACTGGGTTTCATCAAATGTATACTGTTTGTCCGTGTTATTGCTCCGTGATGAATTAATCAAAATCAAGTTTCACGTTTAAGCAGATATAAAGTGTATCCAAAATTAAAATAAAATATTAACGTTATATATAAATTTATTTCACCGTCCGAATATTTCAGTACATATTTTCTATGTTACAAATATAAATAAATTCTTATGTGGGCGCAAAAATATCTCAAATTTCGTTACAGCGTAGGTCGAATTACACGAAGTAACGCGGAAACGCGATATCGAAGCGGATATAAAATACTTCAAACAAAATGTTATCGTCGAACAAAGCCCTCGAAGGCTCTGTGGCATTTTTCCTCGTCGGTCAATGCGCTAAACATTCTTTGCACTCCGCATATCGCATTTTATGAATGTCTGTTTCTTTCATTCGCCCAGGCGTTTCAATCTCGCGAAGCTCGCCAGCGAGGCGCGTTTGCCCGAATTCGTTCGCGAATTTTTACCGTCCGATATAACCGTCCCAGCCTGCCATCGGTCACTCCCGATGGATCTGGATGGCGGAAGCCGGGATTACCGAGACGGAAATTCTCCGGAAAGGAAATGACGGCGAGTCGTTCGGGCGTGACGGGCGAGGGAGGAGTACGTTGACGACGACGATGACGACGACGACGTCGAGAGAAACCGAGAAATCGGCCTCGTAGAGGGTGCAGCGAAGAAATAGTACAAAGGATGGGGGGCGGCAATGGCGGTGGCGGCTGCGGAACCGAGACGAAAGAGCCGACGTGCAAATGTCGTTCTGAACTTTGATCGTAAAACAGCGGCAGACTTCTCGGGTGGGTGGAGCATCCGTCTTGAACCGCAGCCAAATCGGTTAAGCGCGAATAAATTTCCGTGTCAAACTTCGTATGAACGAAGGAGCCGACGGTTCCTGCGTGTCGGGCAAGGTTGGACCTGCAATGTGCTGGCGGAAATGGAACGGTGGGCTCTAATGCCTACGCGCGGACAAAAGAGAGCGTGAAACTAAGAAAATAAAAAGGAAAGGAAGGAATATTTTCGCATCAATGCCTAATAATATTAATTGTTGTACAATGCGTGATGAAAATATAATCGAAATGCAACACATTACTGTATTTTCTATAATAACAGTTTTTTTTTAATGGTATACTGTTAAAAATATTTAAAACATTGCACTCAATTGTATGCACAATTTTGAACATTACAAACAAATTGCAAATTCCATGAATTTTTATTTTATTTAATTAAAACTTACAATTAGTACTTTATTAAAATTTTTTATTAAGTAATTACAGTCTTCTCATAAAGTATCTTATCATTTATACAAGTTTATTTTAAAAATAACTTTCTAGATAAAATATCTGAACAATGATAAAAGGCACAATATACGTCTCTTTAAATAATTAATCATTAATTTAACTGATATTTACTGTTTTCTCGATTACTTTGTGTAGAACATATGCCGTTTTCGTAGACTAACCGCCCATATAATAAACGGTAATAAAAATCAAAAGCGCAGCACAGCGAGAAATTTCCCCCGAGTCATTCCATGTCGAATAAAAGCTCAACTTACATATTGTTCTAACGAGCAGAGAGCTCGCGTATAATGAATAAACAGCAAACGCCGAAGGGAGTTTCGCGCTACGCCATTACGTGCCAACGTTGCGAAACGCGCAGCAAAAAGACGCACCTAACTGTCGGTTTGTCTAACAGAGGCAGACGAAGGATAACCGAGGCATGACGAAGATGTAAAGGTGTCGTCCCGGGATGGTGCCCGAGGAATACAAAGTCGCGGGCCGTAGTGGGCGACTAAAACGAAAAGTCATAAAACGTATTATGACCGCCTCATAATTTACGGCGAAGCGACCCGCGCGAAATCGCCGTCGACTTTCCGCCACCGGATTTATGACATGACGAAGCAATGTGCATGCACATTGTTTCGCTATGCAGTTTCGTCGGAGCGGTGAGGAGAACCTACGGTAATCAATTATCGAAGTATTTAAGTTACAAAAAGATCGCTTTAATTAAATTTATTGTGTCAACTTTAAAACAGCATAACATTATTAAAAACAGAACGCAGATTTTATTAATCAATAATACAAAATATTAAAAAAAAAAATACCAGAAAATAAAAGCAAATATACAAAATGTTAATTATAATAATTATATAAATAATCTCTTATAATTCACTCAACTCCTCTTCAATTCATTGCCGGTCACTCGTCATATTTGCATAATGCAATTCGCGATGACGCTACAAGTTTTAACTATATAGGTTTTATTCACCGATTTATCTTAATTTCAGTCATCGATAAAATTACGTATTTTTCGTACGAAAACAAGGATTAATGTTCTCGGCAAGTAAAGTGCAAGTCATTGCGCGAACACCTTAATTTCAACGTTGTTTGGAAGGACTGATTCGACAACGATTCGCCTGCGATCCTGCGGTCAGGCCGATTATGCGGCGTCACGAAGCGGAATGAGAATCCTAGAACACGTCAACGCATGTCGAGCGACATATAGCGAACACGAAAGGTCGTCAGAGCTTCATTAGCTCTAGCTCGACAGCCTGGAGGGTTGAAGTTAGGCGAATGTTATTAACGTTCTACCTAAATCCCTCGGCTATCCTCTGAAACGCGGCGCATCGAGTACGGAAATGGGCACGATACGTGAGTCAGGCTAAACGGAAGATAGTTAGAACGCGACGCGTCCTCTTGCCCTCTCGCTCTGAATTTATGGATATCCGGCGTATATCGGATATCCGACGTTCGGCATATCCGCAGGTCTCCACACAGTCGTACAGTCGTTCGATAACCTAAAATTCCGTCCGGCAATCCCATTTTTTTTTAACGGATGTTTTACCATTAATAAAAGCGTAACGATGTAATGCGATATCGAAGCGCGATAAAATTTAGCGGAGTAAATTTGGCGATGATGCGCAGAAAAATGGCAATGATTAATTTAGATCATCTATCGAGCGCAACATCCGTAACTACACGGGGAAGCCTGAATTAATCGCACATTTGTGAAATGTGAATCATTCCGGATTGCTGCAAATGAATATCGGGTAACGCCAACGCCGCGCAAATCTCGTTCGTGGCATATCCAATATTCGGAAATCGCGTTTTCCGGGTAACGGATTATACAAAGCAAATATTATAGCATTCAATATTGCACAACACTCCAACTCACGGTATAAAAAGCGCTGTTAGAGCATTACGATTCATTCGTTGATTTTAATGAACAACTAAGTTCATGAAAAATATCAACGAATAAAAACATGCAGAAATTAGCGCAATTATTACTAACTCAACATTCATGATTGCATGAACGAACTCGATTCGTTTATTCAACGAGCTCCGAGCTCGGAGCAGACATTTCCAATGGAAGAAACGAGGACGTGAAGAGCGAACTATTGCCGCGGCGGCCATTTTTCAATATTAAGGAGGCTTTAGGGATGATTTAAATAAGCTCGAGAAAGCTCGGCGGTACGCGACCTGAAAAGTCGGACTTCTTCGATTTATGGGAAGACGCCGGAGACAGCTTAGAGTCTCTCTCTTTGCGCGCTCGCATTTAAACCTCGCCCTATCTGTACGCTGTTTCTCTTTGCTACTTCTCTTTGCGCTACCTCGTCTCTCCTTTTTATCGCTCTCCGGATCGCAGACGCAAAACCGTAAAAACCGAAGTTTATTGGCGCAAGGCTGATCAAGATTGTTGTTCGGATAAGGAGAAGTACAACTTCGTTCGATTCACGTAATCCGTTCGCTCAACACGTATACAACTAAAGTTCCTTTGATTTCCGTACTTTATAAATTACTTAATTAAGATTTGTTATAGATTAATACTACGAGAAAAATTGTCAATTATATTGATCAGATTCAAATCCAAACACTGACGAAATAGATCACGTGAAATCTTTTTCAATTACTGCACATCGTAATTTTATGTGCTTTTGTAAGAGAACAATCGAAGAAATATTTCCCGATCGATCAAAGTAGCGCCTTGAAAATCATGGGAGAAGAGTCTCCCATGTATTAACTCACGTGTATTAAAAACTTTTCAAAGTGATGTTGACAAAAAGAACAGCTCTTTGGTAAACGGAAAGTGCGAAAGGTTGATTGATGTAGTCCGATCGATAGTCGTGCTCAGAAGGAGAACGGATGTGAAGTCCATGATAATTCATCGGCAATCTCTCGACACGCGTTACGAGCGTTAAAAATAGGGTAGAAGAGATGGGCGCGAGAGCAGAGCGAATTGTCGGACATCGTCGGCATCGGATAACAAAAAGCAGACCAGCGAGAAGCAAACGTGATGAAAAGTGAGTCTTCTTCTCCGGCTGCCCTATACCCACGTTTTCGCAAGTGCTCTTTAGCGCATAATTAAACAGCTCCGCATCATTCGTCACAGACGTTTCGCTGAGTTTTAATTTAAAGTTATGATTCATGACAATGCAGCGGAGTCAGCGTAGTTCGGAGCGTAAAAGGAACGAGAGAGAAGAAAGGAAAGTCTTTCAGGACAAAGAGAGGTGGAAGTTCGGCGGCCGCCGGGAGAGTGGAGTGGAGTACGAGGAAAAGATGTCGGAGAATGCGAAAGAACGAC